GTCTGTCTGTGTTTCTATCTGTGTGTATGTGTGTACGTGTCTGTCTGCCCCTAGAACTCCTTGCCTGTCCACCTCCACCTCTTTGTGTGTGTGTTACTTGCCTACCTTGTCGTGTATTTGACCGCACATTCATGCTCGCGTCTTGTGTTGTGTCCGCTTCAACACACGCCTGCTTGTAGGTGATGGAGCAACACATACAGCAGCCACACGAACGGCTCGCGCAGCACAAGCTTGCATCGGAGGTGCGTTGACAAGCTTCTCTGCACGGCGTTTTGTTGCATTTTTGCTGATGAAAGAGAATCACGTGCCATCACGTTCCTCCTGTTCGTGCACACGCATCAACACCATCACCATCACCATTAGGTGGTGCGGCTTGTTCATGGGGCGGCGGCGGTGGACGAGGCGAAGACAGCAACTGATGCTCTGTTTGCACACGGCTCCCTCGACAACGTCTCTGCAGCTACCCTCAAGGCGGTCGGTCCGTTCATGGTTGCGTGTGTGTGTGTGTGTCTGTCGGCATTTCACGTGTATCCGTGTTTCATATGTTTCTATGTCGGTACTTCATGTGTTTGTGTGCGTTTCATGTGCACGAGCTTCACCTCACCGCCTATGCATGTGCGGGTGTGGTGTTATCGGCCACCAGATGTTTGCGACTGCGCCGTCCGCTACTCTTGACCGCGCCCTCATCACCGCTGGCACCACGTCCATCCTCAGTACGTCCCGTGCGCGAGCGCGATATGTGTGTGTGTGTGTGTGTGTGTGTGTGTGCGTGTGTGTGTGTGTGTGTGTGTGTGTGTGTGTGTGCGTGTGCGTGTGTGTGTGTGTGTGTGTGTGTGTGCGTGCGTGCGTGCGTGTGTGTGTGCTGCGCTGGAATGGGTTCTCTGTCAATTAACGACGACCGTCACATCACACGGCACTTGCTCATCCTCTGGCCTCTCCTCTCTCGCTAGGTGCGGCTGTACAAGCGGGCTTGTTTTCGTCCAAAGGCGAAGCGAAGCGCACGCTGAAGGCCGGTGGCCTCTACGTCAACAACAACAGGTGAGAGGCACGCAATCACGGTTACCACTGCACACACACACACACACGTGCACACGCACACACACACACACACACACACACACACACACACACACACACACACGCACGCACGCACGCACGCACTGCAGGGTGGAGCGGGATGCGCCGCTGACGAGCGAACACGTGCTGGCAGACGCGTTGACGGTGCTGCGGAAGGGAAGAAAGCACTATCTCATTATCCACTGGAGCACCTGAGCCATGCCAAACGCTTTCATCAGAACCCTACTAGCATCGGAGCCATTAAACTCTGTCAATCAGAGCACACACACACACACACACACACACACACACACACACACATTCACACACACACACACACACACACACACACACATAGGGCAACCACCGAATCAGCAACACAAAACAACACGACCAAGCACGCAGCTCATCTGCATTGCAGTCACATTTCGATCGTACTGTGGCAGCAAAACACACAACTTCAGCGGCATGGGGCAATGTTTAGTTCCCCTAAACACACGTTTTGGCCTACATGACGCCATGGGAAAATGCGATATTGCGATGTCACAAACCACAATGCGAGGAAGCCGTCCATCTCTCCACCATTTCTTTGGTGTGGTTCCAGTGAGACACCCCCCCCCCCCCCACACACACACACACAACAACCAGCCGCAAATTATGATTGCATGCTTGCCCTTTCTGCGTGGTCTTGCTTTGAGTTTCATTAACGCTGCACAAGGCAGAACAAGTGGTGGAGAACGGCGGGTGGGGTGTAACGGCATTGGAGGGCTGCCTGTCTGTCTGTGTGACGTGCGGTGTGATGTGATGCTCACTAGCTCACAGCCAACACATTCGGACAACAAAGCCCAACAAGATGAACGCAGATGTAGGAAGAAGAACTAAGAACGCAGCATGTAGACGGCAGCACATGGTGGCAACTGCAGGTGTCTTTCTCTTGGGGTGTGTGGCAGGGCTGTAGGCGGAACGAACAATGCCTAAATGCGAAGAAGGTAACAAGGCAATCAGGGCAGTGAGGGCACTGGACCAGGCAACGAACACTCGCGCCACAGGTCTGATTTGCTGGCGATGCCAAATATGAGAGGCAGAGAACGAACTTCGCAGCGAGCGCACCAGTGAGAGTGCAGCCGCAACCAACGGAAAGCGGGTGTGAGTAGGGGCTATCGGGCAGTTAAACAAGAGGAAGATCGAACGAGCCAGAACAAAGCAAGGAAAAAAGTGAAGCTAGAAGCGACGAAAGGGGTGAAAACGAGGAGGCCAAGGTTCACAGGGCCGGCCAGAGAGAATGTGTGGAGAGTTGTAGCTACGACAAGGAGGGGGGGGGGCGACTGTGAACTCTAAAAACCTAAGGCTTCAGCGACAACAAGGAGACGAAGGCAGCTAGCTGCATGGTCAATCAATCCAGCAGAGACCTTTTTGCAGCGTGCGTTTGACGCGGTGCAAGACAGAGAAGCAGATACAGGCAAAAAAAAAAAAGAAAAAAAAGAAAGAGAGGTGAAGGGGGAAGGGGATTCGCTGCATGCTGCTACGACGAGGACGACGGCGGATGCGGCGGCGACTGTGAATGGTGAGCCATGTGATGATGCGCGTGACTGGAGTCGAATGCAAGGTCCAGTGGCGCAAACGGGAACGCAGTGGTGGTCCCGCCTCCCAGAGAAACAGCCTCTGTTGCACGGCGAAGGGAAGGGGAGGTGACGACCGAGTGGGGGCCAGGGGCACCCATGTGAGGAAATGCACCCGTTGGTGATTGCGGCAGGCTCGTGCTGCGAGGCAAGCTCTCCTGGGCGCCGACGCTGCTGCTCAACGTGTGGGGGCTGTTTGTGTTGCTGTCCTGCTCATCAGATGACCCTTGTCCTTCGCCTCCGGTGGGTTCTTCCAGCGCCTCGCCCGAAATCTCGGCCATGCCATAGCGGGCCAGGACCGTGTTGAGCACCTCCGTCCGCTGCACCATTGTGGCGTAAAACGTCTCCCAAGCTACAACAGGGGCGGCACGGGGAAGGAAGCACGGCGTGCACAGCAACGAGACCACACAAAGACGAGTGAATGTGAGTGTACGAACAAGGTCGGTGATTCCGAATGAAAATGGAGACCCGGCGTGTGCATTTCAAGGTGGAGCATCCATGTGGTTGAGAGGTATGCGGAAAGAGAAAAAACGCGTTTGAAAGCCACGCAAAATGCACGCAACTACCCGGGAACAAGAATTGGAGCTTCAGATAACAAGCAAGCTCCTGCAGCACACCTTGGATTTCGCGCTTCTTCTCCTCACGGTAGCCCTTGGATGACAGCCTGTTGCGTTCCTTGATGAGCTTTTCACGCTCGTCCTTGCTGAGGGTGCGGGGGTCGATGTTGTCGAGCGGCGTGGTGACGGGACGGCGCCGGTACGGCGAGGGAAATGCCTGCAGGTACAGGCGCTCGTTTGCCGCCACAAAGTCCTGGGTGGCACGCTCAACCTGCTGCATGCGACCCAGCCGCTCCTGTTGTTGTTGTTGTTGTTGTTGTTGTTGTTGTTGTTGTTGTTGTTGTTGTTGTTGTTGTTGTTGTTGTTGTTGTTGTTGTTGTCATGAAAAAGCAAACACATGCACACGAGCACAGCATACAGAAACATACGTGTGGGGTGTGAGAACTCGTTGATGTGAGCAACACCAGGGCAAATGAGCAACCAGCAGGAAGGAAGCAGACAAGTAGAACACCAAGCAGGGGCAGGCGACATGTTACGCACAAGAAGAGCGGTGAACGCTTGCTTGCAGGCTTCGTGAAGGATGGTGCTCTTGTTTTTCAAGTCCTCCAGGCGTTGGCGCTTGCGCTGACGATAGCGTACGCTCTTCAGGCGGTTGCGTGTGCGGCGCTTGGCCACAACTTCATCCTTGCTGAGACGACGGCGGCGGCCCTTGCTGCTGCTGCTGCTGCTGCTACTGCTGCTACCGGTGTTGCCGGTGGTTGGTTTTGCCTGTGCGATTGAAGTGGCCTGTGCCAAAGATGACGAGGCTGGGGAGGACAGGGACACGCGACGGGGCTTGGCGCTCGTGCTGACTGCACGCTTTCGTTGCTGTTTCTTCTTCAAGCTACTCCTGCTGGCGCTGCTGCTACTTGCGCGCAGTTCCTCATCGGAGATGGGGACCGTGACTTGGTGCGCGGGGCTGAGGAGAATAGGAGACGTTCCAGACGGCACATGCGATGATGCCGCTGGAGAGAGGGGATCGCTGCCGGCCAGAGGCAGTGGCAGGAGGCGGGGCGTGGAAGACGCTGACAAGTGGTTGCTGTGCGTGTCCAGGTCGCTTGGCTCGGCCTTGATGCTGCTGTGGTGTGGCGTTGGATCTTGCTGCGAGTGGTGGGGAGAGTACGGCTTGGGTTGGGATTGGTGGCTGTGTTGGAGAAGGTGCTGGTGCTGCTGGTGCTGCTGGTGGCGGCGCTGCCCGTATGCATCGCTGTGAAGGTGGGCGCCGTGCTCAGCAGAGAACAAGTCTGTTGACTGAACCGTGCCGGCTGCGGGAGCCGAGTGGCGTTGGCCATGGTAGCTGGTGCTGCTGCTGGCAGGGTGACGGCCACCGGCTGCCATCTGGCTCTGGTGCTGCTGCTGCGTGTGCTCTGTGGGGAAAATGTCCATGGACAAGCCCATGCTCTGCGCAATTTCCTCCAGCGACAGCGTGGTTTCGCGCGCCCTTGGTGCCATACTTGGCTGTTGTTGCTCATGATGGTGTGGTAGGTGTTCTGGCGCAGGTCTGGCATGTGCATGTGTGCATGCATGCGTGCGTGTGTAGGTGAGTGTAGATGAGTGTACATATGTGCATGTACATGTGTGTAGATGAGTGTATGTATGTGCATGTACATGTGTGTAGGTGAGCGTATGTATGTGGATGTATGTGTTCGTGTGAATGTGAACGTGTGTAGGAAGGTGTATGTACGTGCATGTAGGTGCATGCATGATGAGAAGGGCACGTTCATGAGATCTGTGGTGATGTGAAAAACAGCCGTGCAAACGTTTTGTTCGACGTGGCAGGGCCAAATGGAAGCGAAAACAAACACATTGAACAACGATCATGAGCACTTACAGGGGGTCATGCTGTCGATAGTGGTGTTGGCGTGGGTGGTGTGGGTGGGTGTCGCTGTCGTGGCCTGGTTCACCATAGTGATAGTGCTGGTGCAGGGTCAGGTCGTCAACATTGGCGATGTTGGCGTGAGTTGCGCTCGCGGGCACCTCCAATGCGTCGTGGGCCAGGTGCTGCTCGCCAAGCCCCAGCAAGAAGTGGGCACTCGTGGTTGTGGAGGTTGGGAACGCAAGGCTGCTTGTTGTGACCGGGTGCGAGTGGCTGCTGCTGTTGTTGTTGTCCATGGGAAGGTCGTGTTCGGTGGTAAAATTCAGGGTGTTGGTGTGTGCTGTTGCTGCGGTCGGCTCCTCAAGGAGCGCGTCGGTGGTTGCGAGAATGTCCCAATCGCAGCACAACGCTGCGGGTTTCAGGCTCTTGTCTCTGCTGCAGGCGGAGCTGGTGGCTGTTGTTGAAGGCGTGGATGGATACAGAACGTCTTGTTGGTCGATATCGCTGGGCATCCACTGCTGATGATGCTCAAGGTTCAGGCCAAACCCGTCAACCAGCAGCAGGTCTGTCTCAGCGCTGCTGTTGCTGCTGGCGGTGCTGCTGTTGGTGTTGGTGTCAATGTCAAAGTGGAGAAGGGGGTCACTGTCAAGGAGAAAAGGGAAGATGGGTTTGGTGGTGGTGGGCTTTGGAGGCGCAGCGAGTGCTGATGAAGGTGTGGCTGCTGGAAGCGGTGCGGCAGAAGTGGTTGTCGTTGCGTGGTCCTGCGTTTCGTGAGTTCGGGGACGTGCGCAGGCAGCGTCGGGATGGGTAGTAGTAGTAGTAGTAGTAGTGGTAGTGGACGATGATGAAGAGGAGGGGGAGGGGGAACGGGAGCGCCACAAGCCAATCATGGGGGGAAGTGCCGCGAAGAATGCGCGTGTTGGTGACGCAAGCCGTGGAGAGATGCAGAGCAGGCGAGAGGGTGCTCGCTCGTGCTATGCGTGGAGAATACTTGTGTTGCGAGGAAGGAGAGCGCTCTATGCGTGCGTGCGTGTGTGTGTATGTGGTCTGGGTTGACTCAAGCACCCAAGCACCCAAGCAGGGGGGGGGGGAGGAAGGCAAACGATGCTCAAGGACGAAGAGGAGGAGAGCGAATGCAGTGAAAGTATGCCAGTGGCGTGGGTTTTGTGGTTGGCTGGCGAAGGTTTGGCAGTCGGCGTGTTGGAATGAAAAATGAAAGATGGCAGATGGCACAGGCGCGAAGTGGGAAGTCACGAGTGGCCCTCCAGTGACATGTGCACTAGTGATGACGGGATGGCGTCGTGCTTGTCGAAGGGGTCTTGGGGGTTGGTTGGTTGGGATAATGAATGTTTTGACACAAACACTGCAAACTATGAAGGAGACAAGGGGTGGGCAAGCACGTGCCTTTGCATCACCCTCCTTGCATAGACCCTGCTTACTTCTTGCTTGGTGGGGAACACCCTTGCCTTGCTGTTGTTCGGCGTGTGTTTGCGACGTGCGTCACTTTTGCCGAGGGTGCTTGCAGAATGTTGTTGCTGGAATCCACATCAGGTGTCGTTCTGCGTTGTCATTCCTGACCTGCAACCGTCCCGCTAGGTCTGCTTGCAGGCAACCAACTCAGCAAGGATCGCGCGCAAGAAGTGCCGTTGCTTACGACATTCGCCGCCTCGTATGACTGATTGAAGAGCGTTGATGAATTTCGGTGTCTCGAATATTGCGTTTTGCGCCTCGTACGACTATAGTTTGACGCACCTGAAGGATGCTTGGGCACTCTGGTGTGGGAAACACTCTACACGCGTGAAAGCTTTTCGTTCGTTGCCGAGCAGTTTTGCAAGGCTTTCCCCAAAATTGCTGCAAGCGCTCGACAAGCACGCTAAGTTTCGACGCCACCACGTGAATCTTCGCGCGGCAAACAGAAACAAACCAAGAACGCAAGCACGCTCACGACCGGATGGACGGATGGAGCGCTGCAGCTGGTCAGTGATAATCAGGTCAGTGCGAGGGCGGGGGTTTGTCGTTCTCTTCTAGCGTTCTGGTTTGTTTGGTTTTGGTTTTGGTGGTTTTTGGTTTTGTTTGGTGGTTTCGTTTTGTCACTCACGTGGCGTGTCCAAGGTGATTGATGATGGGTGCTGGCAGCTGGGACGTGCACCAAGCGCCAAGCTCCAAGCAATTATTCTCTACTTGCCGAGCCATCTTGGCTTCTTGGGCAGGTGCTGAGAACTCACGTGTGTTTGCGTGTTTGCCATCCTTTCTTGCAAGGGAGGCAGGGTTGCGTTCAGGTAGCAAGGGAGAGAGGGCCAAGGGAAGACAGCGAAGGGGGGCCCAATGCAAGAGGGGTATCGTAGTGGTGGTTTGTGTCGTTGTGTCCTTTGTGTCGTTGCCGTGTTGATGATGAGGATGTGATGCATGAATTGGGACTGGGACATGCTGGGGTGTGCTTGCTGCTCGTGTGCTCGTGTGCTGCTCGTGTGCTCGTGTGCTGCTCGTGTGCTCGTGTGATTTGTACAAAGGCATGCGTTATCTGCGAGGAGGAAGTGCCTTTGCATGGGTATGATGATGATGATGATGATGCGGGGCATGGAGCGCTTGTAGGTTCGTGGGCATGTGTGGGCACAGCAACACGCCATGTGCGAATGCGTGTGATGTGCGTGTGGTGGAGGAACAAGGAGAGCGCGCGCGTGTATGTGTGTGTTTGTGGTCGTTATGAGTGAGATGGCTTTCGTTTGATGGCTTTCGTTTGCTGTTGATGGCTGTTTTTCGTTTGCTTGCTTGCTTGTTTCTGCACACATGACAACACAAAAGAGAACCAGCTGACGAGCGCAAAGGCAACACAGATTTGGAAAAGACGACCCTACCAAAACGAAAGCACAGCGACAAGGAGACAAGGAGACAAAGAGACAAGGAGACAAGGAGACAAGGAAACGGAACACTCGAGCAGAGCACAACACACACACACGCACACACGAAACAACGGCATGGGTGGGTTGTTGTTGTTGTGGTGGTGGTGGTGTGTGGCGAGTAGGCAAGAAGGGAGGAAGAAGGAAACCCGGAGACGTCAAGGCACAGGAGGGCAGAGCAGGGACGCCGCATCCAGCTTGCAAGCAAGCAAGCAAGATACACGAATCAAACATACTACAGGCAAAACAGCACCACGTGCACGCAGGGTGTACGCAGCTCAAGAGGCTCAGACAGAGGATGCGTTTGGAGTCACCACAGGCTCCACACCATGGAACAGGCAAATGGGCGGCGTGTCACCTGTAGGCAGTGCGGAGTCACGAGTGTGTGTGTGTGTGTGTGTGTGTGTGTGTGTGTGTGTGTGTGTGTGTGTGTGTGTGCAGAAGGGGTGGCGCTATGTGGCGGCGGCAACCAGGCACGTGTGGCGCCTACTGAATCACAAACAGAGGCAGATACACACACACACACACACACACACACGGACAAAAGAGCGCGCCAACATACACACGCACACACACACACACATACACAGACACACAAAGACGAGTCAGCGTACGGGTGAGAACGTCAATGTCCTCCAGGTAGTCGCGGATGCGCTGCAGGTGGTCGCGTGCCGTGGGCGTGCTGGCATGCTGGTGGTGGTGGTGGTGGCGGCGGCCGCCTCGGACGCTGTCGTTGTCATCGTCGTCGTCATCATCATCGTCTGTGCGGTATGCCTCGGGCGGGCGCTCTGGTGGCGACGGCAGATACGAGAACACGGCCGCTGCGAGATAAAAACCGCAACGGTAGAGACAACAGCGCATGCGGTGGCCGCGACAGCGTGTCAGAGCACAGGCGAGAGATGGTGGTGGTGGAAGGGGACACATACACACACAGACACACAGACACACAGACACAGACACAGACACACACAGACACACACAGACACACACACACACGGACACACATCCACATAATCATGTGCATGCATGACGTACAGGTCTTGGTGCTGTTGGTGAGGATGGTGCGGTTGACAAAGGAAAACTGCTCGCGCGTGGATGCGTTGAAGAACGACTTGCCCTCGCCCTTCTGCGGCACATACGTAATCATCTGCAAGCACATTGTCCATGGCGGCGGTGAGTTCGGACAGCGTCACGGTCAACAAGCGCCGCCAAGACAAACAAAGATGTTGAGTGTGCAGGATATGAAGTGGACGGTGGGTGGCTGACACCCTCACATGCATGCTTGCATCACATGCAAATAGTCGCGAAATCACACCTTCACTTCCGCGTGCATGATGCGCACATCCTCAAGCACGCCTTGCAGCCTGCACCAACACACACACACACACACACACACACACATACACACACACACAAACGTGAATGAACGTGGTCAAGGGGTGAGGTGATGTGTGCATGTGCGTATGTGTGTGCATGCGCGTGCATGTATGTGTATGTGTGTGCGCGCGCGTTTGAGGTGACGAAAATAGCGCGCTGGAACCAGGCACGAAGCCAACAGCAGCTTCGCTGACGACCAGCCAGCACGCAACACCAGCCAGACGGCAATAACCACGCATGCAGCAACGGCGCACCTTGTTTCCTCGGCATCAATGTCTGTGCCTGGATCGACAATGGCAAACACGCGGATGCGGTGGTTGCGCCACCGGCCAACCATGTGCAGAATAGTCGCCTGAAGCCGCAGTGGTGCACGTGAGCAAACAAGTGTGGATGGGGGCAGTGGGCACACAGGTGATGGCCAAGACGACGTTGTGGTCATATACATATGGATACACGCAGGCAGACAGACAGACAGACAGACAGACAGACAGACCGACCGACGCAAACACGCAGACACAATCGCACCATCTGGAGGATAAAGTCGAAGGTGAGGGAGCGGGCGGGGCCTGGGCGGACGACCGGATACAGATCAATGTAGTGGTGGAACCGCCCACTCGCCTCCTGCAGCCGCGACTCAAG